AAAGCATCATACCAATAACTTGATTTTCCCCGGCGCAACGTTTGAGAAGCATCTTCAACGAACGTCCTGTCAGAGCAATTGAATTCAGCTCAATTTGATTCCTTGCCGTCATCAGTGATAGGACTAGGACATGGCAGCATAAGTATCCTGATATAAAAACCCCAAATAGTCCTGTCTTGGCACTGTTATTGAAATTTATCCGTCTTTTCTATGCAAACAGTATTAGCCGAATATATACACTGCTAGGGACAAGTTTATAACTATCTGATCACCAGAAAGCCGGAATATTCCAGTGTCAGACGGAATACAGCTTTAATCTGTTCGTATGGCATGAGTCCTGATCCTCCTGCCGGTAATGCAGCTGTAATAATGCATGTAATCCGTCTGAGTCGATAAAACACGCCAAAGAATAATACTGAACCTAGTAGAGTACTTTAATTCGTTTCCGGTACAAATCAGCTTATTTAGTCAGTGCTGTTGACAGGAATGTGAGGTCTTCAGCTTGGATAAATAAAAGAGCATTTCTTTATAAATACTGATTGCTTTTCTTCTTGTCTCTTTTCCCCATGTTTCCGATTCAAAGAGTAATCACAACAACTAATACATTATTTTAATTTCTTTTCCTTTACAATAAGAAAGAGGATCTGATCTAAAAACCCTGTAAATTAATTGCACCTTTTAGAATTATTATATCTCCATATAGTGTTAATTAAACGTTTTACATGCGGAAAGGCCATGTTTGGTTTTAAAAAAGTGCAAAATTTCGCTTTCTGTCTCCAATTCCTGGATTTGTCAGTCCAGATGATTTAGTTATCTTGCTATCTATAAACCGATACTCACAGTACAGTGTATCGTAATTGTTTACAGATTTTCGCTATCTGCACTAACACGTTCAATAAGGGAAAAATTGACGACCTTCACAGATGGAAACCTTTCGGTCAACTCTGTCTCAATTAGTTCTTTGAATTTTTCGTCAACAATGGTACCATTAATATCTAAAATTTCTAACACTGTTGTAGGCATCCCGCTTTCGGATAACCCACCTTCCGCTATAAAAACATTCAAAAATTCAAACGCCCCTGTGCTCCTTATCAAATTTTGACCTATACGAAGAACTTTCAATTTTGAGTTGTTAGCAACACCCTTTGCAATGAAGCTTGCGGCTTGGGGCGTAAACAGATTCCCACAAGCTGAAATTTCAACAAGGCTTCGATTGCTAGCGATTACTTCGCCAAGAATTTCAGCTCCTTGGTCGCGTAAGTAATTCCATGAAATGTTGAAAGCAGACAGCGTTTTGGTTTTTCGTAAACCTGGCAAAAAGGCCTGTAACCCCGTTACTTCAAGCTGATTTGAGTTAACGAAAAGCTTTTCGAGTACAAAGTTCTTCTCCAAAACAAAAGACATTTGCTTGGCGAATTGATCACATAGAATGTTTTGAGACAAGTCCAGTTCTTTTAGAACAGTTTTACGGCAAAGAGCAGCGAGGAGAGATTCCACGTCCGGGTCGGTTAAGTTGTTCCTCGAGAGATTCAGTTTTTCTACAGTTTGGTTCTTATTGAGCATCTCTCCAATGCTGGAAATAGCATTCTGTCCAAGCATATCACCAGACAGGTCAAGCTCTCTCACAGAAAAGTTCTCCTCCAGGCCTTTAGCTACAGCTTTCCCTCCTTCGTCTCCAAGATGGCTGTTAGCGAGGGATAAACGTACAATAGTTGAACGTGGAACTAACTGGGAACCAATTTCACAAGCGGCTTTCGGGTCAATGATCCAACCGTTCAAATCAACTTGTTTGTCAAAACTGTGCTGCCTAAAGAACTCAAATGGGCTTGATACACCATCCACATTATTGTTGTTCTCTTCTTGTTCTTTTTCCATTTGAAATGTTTTCTCTGCGTTCAGAACTCGACTTTTTGCTCCGGAGGCGAGTCGAACGTGGCTCGATATTTTTGGCGATCTGTAGACTTTCGGTATAGCGCGAAATCTTGGGTCGTGCGATGTTTTGACTTTAAGTTCGTTCATCCGTATAATGGAAGATAAATCCCAGGATGTAGACATTACAGCTGTATTAAAGAGGCTGACCCTCTATCGAACACCGTTGTTGCCGTGTTTGGGGTCTTCCTAGTTTGCCTGGCCTGCAATTGGTAACAAACGTCATCTGCGTTTTCACGATGTAGTCTCCTAGTTTTATCATGGCCTACAGGCATTTAATTATTTACCCACCGAGTCAGACGACTTAACCAATTAAATTAAATCCGAACATTAAACCTATAAGAATGCTTACTTTTCTCCTCCGTGTTTTGTTTGATAAAGGAACATGGCATATGTTTTGCAAAGCGCTGCCGTTTTCACTGGCACATAGCTGCTAACAATCATGCATGAGTAGATAACAGCAAGATTTTTAACCTGTGCCAGCTAAAATATCAGTCGGTGAATAGAAAATACAATCCCCCTCTAAACACGGAAAATAAGTTACCGACCAAACGACGACATATCGGACTATTCATTGGAGGCACCCTAAGTAAATACGCTTTTAATGGCCTTCAGATCGAGTTAATAGGTTTACCAGTGCAACTTTACTACTAAAAACCAGACGGAACAATGAAAGCAACTGGTAATCACTTCCGTTAATAAACGCGACAGTTCTTTACTGCTAGTACATGTTGAAAGGTAGTTTTAAGACAAATTCTCCAGCTTTTTGCATTTATATATCTTCAGCAATCCTCTGAGGTGAATCCTAAGATAATCACGCGGGAAAGAAATGGTTGAAATAAACGGAATGCTTGCACCATCATTGTTTAAAAAAGAACAAGTGTTGAAATAAAGCCGGAGGGGTATCTCACAGGCTATCCGTTTTTGGCAGCTTGGGCTACGAAGACTCGTGTTGTTGTTCAGCTATAAATGTCGCCGCTTGCAGCAAAGTTTGGTGGTGGAAGGGGGAGTGTATTTTTGGGGTAGGGAGGGGAGTGTTTGCGCAAACCTTTTAAAATAACTGGGATGGAAATCACAACGCCGAACCGATGGGCTGCTGGAACCGCGGAGCCGTAACAGAAGATTGGTGTTGTCAGATGAACTGAAATTGATAATTTGAAATAGTCTACCGATAACCTGAAAATATCCACGAAAAAACCACGCTTACGACGATCGTTCGCACTAAAATGGCAAAAGTTGGCAACTGCTCCATGAAGAATTGTGAGGAGGGGAGTGAATTTTTCTCTTGCATGCAGCTAGTGCAGCTTATTTTAGCGGCTCCTCTGCCAACTGTACCTTACACGAGCCCGCTGCGGAGACTGCTACTTCGCTTTTGTCTAACTAGGAAAAAACAAAATGGCAGAAATATTGGTTTATTTTCCTTTCAGTTCAGAAAGCGGACCGAAGGGCCAATTTAGAACCTGCTATCGCGTCCAATTCTTAGTGTGCTCGATGATCAGCTGATGTGAAAAGTTCCGTGGAAACGAGGTTGAGGAGACCTCGTGACCAAACCACCTCCGAGTCTGACGTCAAAGAGACTTGGGAATACAGATTGCGCTTATTTTTTGCTTAGACAATTTCGGCACAGAATGATCTTTCAGTTAAATTTCACCTAACGCCAGAAACCCTAAACGAAGCACATCCCTGGAAATGCTTTGCCATCGATCAATTTATGCATACAATCAAAAGCATCCAAATATTCGCAACTTTATTTGCGAAAATTCTCCATTACAATTACTATAATAACTTATTATACAACCTAAACGAAATTGATAATTACTTGTCAATGTTGAAGAATATCATTACCTATAGTTTGCCGACTGAATAAATCCTCTCTGAGACTGTGCTGGAAATGTAATGCATAAATTACAATACTGAAATTTTAACAAAAGTCGGCACACGTTCAGTCATGTCGACCACACGTGTGCAGTTTCTACACTGAGCGGGGTGAGGCTGGAAAACAAAAATATATGACAATTGTTGCAGCATGTACAGTATAATG